TCTTCCCCTCAAGGCGAAGCCGGGACGCTCCTTTCTCTGGCTTCAGCACTTGTCAGGCAGCTGGTGTTTGGCAAGAAGTTGCCACCATGGTGGCTGGCTTGAGCCCTAACTTCTTCTGTTTCTTTCTGGTGATGCTTCAGTGCTTGAATACAAAGTCCCAGCTCTGTGTCTGCAGTGTAATTCATGCCGTTAAAAAGTACTGATTGGGTAACTATCTTATACCTGCATGCGTTTGTTAGAGGTAATAACTTCTTAGCACTAATAACTCCTATAGCAGAAGCCTTCTGTGACATCCATTTTAAATAGCTAAAACTACTCTAAGCAGGGGTATACTGTGTGCCTAGTCTACTAGCAATAGTATTAACCAATAAAGAATTTGATGGGTGGCTATTAAAGTCTGTTGCCTGACAGTGAAATATCTAAATATTTGTTTTAAGTGATCCTTCCTTTGATGTGAGGCTCTTCTTTTGGTCACGCTGCCAATTAAAAGCCATTGATCTTGCTTCTGACTTTTGGAAGGAGTGTGGGGGGGAATTGCTGTATTAACCTAACCCAGTGTCTTCTCAGGGTGCTGTCACCTCTGTCACCTTACTGATGTTCAGGGAACAGCAATATGCATTTGATAAGGACTCCTTCTTTCTGCTAAAGTCAGAAACCTCAATTCTGTAATGAGAGCTGGACCCCGTGTTGGTGAATTGAACAGCCAGTTGCTGTTGGAATTTTTGTGAAGAGATACTATTTTTACCAGGGAAGAGTTTCTGAGAAGGAAGCAAAACGAGAATTGAGGAAATGAGAGAGCTGAGGTGAAAGGGCAGAGCTGCTTGCTGGTGTGTGTTTTGATGTTTGGTTTTGGTTTTTTGAGATAAGCTCTGCCACTCTGATAAGTTATGTCTGTAGGAGGCATGCAGGGTAGGAAGTGGAGACTCAGATGGTTGGTTTGGCCCAAAGAGCAAGAAAGGAAACTAGTCTTTCAGAGGTACAAACTTTGATAGTGCTTTTTAAGCTCTTCACCTTGGAATATGTCAAAGGAGCAGTGTGCTATAAAAATTTTTGTATTGGGGTGTCCTATACACTCATCAGAACTTGAGATAACATTAACAAATTATGTAAAAATTGAGAACTTCATTGGGCTGTCCTTACCATTCCATGGAAAAACTGAGTAGCCATCAGTGCCTCTCCAGAGTGAAATACAAACCAAAGTATGGGTGTAGTTTAGTTTTATCAGTGTTGTGATAGCTGAAAATTTGTTTTAATGTATTGAAGGGGGGAAAAAAGTTACCTGTATTTTAAATTTTGACAAGTCTCTCCAAAGCAAAGGTTGTGTGTGGCTGGTGGTGGGCAAACTGAGCTCAAGGAAAATAGTTTCAGGTACAGTTATTCCACAAGATTAATTCACAAAATGGTAACTACAGAATCCAATGTTTAGGAGGGTGTTATAGAAAATAGGGAATGGGAAGTATTTGTATGAAGAGGCAGTAGGAAGATAAGCTGTGGAGAAACCTACTTGGGTTTGAGAAGGACAGTCCTGTATGGGTTGGACTTGAACTTTGCAGTTCTTGCCTCTTGCATTAATTAGCATTTTGGAGAGTATATACCACAGTTAATTATGATTTGTGGTCGCTGTCAAATTCACTCAACTGACTTTGAAGTTAGAACAGCCTTTTTTTTTTAACCATCAAAAGCTTTTTGAAACCAATTACACTCTTTTCATAAGGTGTTCACAAGAGTGAATGTTGTGAACACTGCTAGCAGAAATAGGCCTTGAGGGAAACAAAATGCCTTGATTTGAACCCTGCTGCTTTTGTGCAGCATTACAGATTTTTTTTCTTCTGGTTGTCAGAGGAATCAAATGTTTTTACCTGTAGTTTGTTTGGGAGGTCCACATGAAATGGGCAAGGCACAAAGTTTTATTAAATGTTTTATTAAATGCTATTAAATCTACACTTGTAGAACTGATGTACTTGATAGAAACATTAAACCATTGTCTCATTTCACAGCATGAAGGGTCAACAATGTCAGCACTAAACTGGAAGCCCTTTATTTATGGAGGTTTGGCATCAATCACTGCAGAATGTGGTAAGCTTCTCCTTTAACTGTTGATTTCTCAGACAGTCCCTTTTGAAACAAGCTGGTTCCATGGTGTCACTGACACTCCTCCTTGGTGGTCTGCAGCACAGGGTTTTCTCTCTTTAATGCTGACCTAGGAGTTTTTCAGAGGGGTGTTATAAGGTCAGAACCCTTCTGTCTGTAAACTCAGGTGCCACGTGAGTCTTGTTTTTTATACAAACTTTGCCTTTGGATTCTGTTACTTGATGTTTGTTGATCTGTTCCCAGACCCTGGTTATAAATACACACAGCTTTTGTTTTGCTAGAGTAGACAAGTTAAGCTCTTTAGCTTGTAAATATTTTCTCTTTTTCTGAGTAGCTCTGTTGCAGTTCAAATTCCTTTTCCTTGAATATGAGCAGCTGATTAGATTTGACCACTTTGAGCTTCACTTAGTGTGCAACACAGGATAGCTGCTCTAGTGAGACAACACATCTGATGTTTTAGTGCCTCCTCTAAAGCCAAACCTAAAATATTAACATCCTTTGAAAGTCTTACTGCATGTACAAGAAAATAAATCTCTTTTTTCATAGCAGAACACAGTCTGATGTGATGGGGTTGCACTGAAGCCTGGCTGATGACCTAGATGGAGTATAAAATTGCACTTAAAACTATGATTTTTGTTTTCTACCTTCTCTTATGAATCCTGTTCAAACTTGGGTTTGAAAGCCAAGTTGGCTTGATTGAATGTGGCAAATAATGCCAAGAGCTTCCTGAGGAAGACAAGCAGTTCCTAAAAGCCTTGCAGGTCTGGCAAGCCTCATTAGGACAGATGCATTATATGTTCATTAGGACAGATGCAGTTAATTCTGACTCCTGTCAGTGTTTAGGTGAGGGTTGAGTGTTGAGGTGCTTCCCCTGGGAGTGTTTTCCTATATATTAGTATGTAATAAAGGCTGCTGTTTCTCCTATCATGTTCTTTCTCTTTGGTTAAGTGCAGTGGTTGATGAATTTTCTCTCTGACATTTTCTTTAAGGTACTTTCCCCATTGATCTGACCAAAACACGACTGCAGGTTCAAGGTCAAGTTAATGATGCCCAGTACAAAGAGATCCGCTACAGGGGGATGCTGCATGCTCTGGTCAGGATCTGCAGAGAGGAAGGACTGAAAGCCTTATACTCTGGGTAAAACTGACCTCCAGGAAGGGTGTATGAGCAGTATATTGAGAAGTTTAAGCCCATAGTTGTGTGAATTCTTTACTTTCAGATGGAGGAGGTGTTTGGTTAGACTCAGTTCATCTGGAAGCTGAAAGCCCAAGCTTGGATTGCTCCAGTCTTTGCACTCTGCAGTAGCATTTCATGTTGAAAACAAAAACCCTGAATCCCCCAAACCAATCAAACCAAAAAAACCCCACAAAATCAAACCCAAACCAACCAAACACCCCCCAAAAAACTTAAAAAAATAAAATCTAAGCATAAAGTTATAATTTTATACAATGCTTCTCTAGCTGTTCCATCTCAGAAGAAAAATTGACTTAACCCTTGTAGATAAATGAGGATATTTTTCTTCAAAACATGTAAGGTGGTGGGGAAAAGATGTAATCTGCAGAGTTTCAGGCAAGCTTGCCAGTTCTTTTATAGCTCACCAGTTGAGGTGTGCTCTAGGAGTGATCCTGCCACAGCTCATTCCTGTTCTTGCAGGCTTTATTCAAACCCACACCACCACCACCAAACCTTGTTTTGTCTGTAGTGAGTTTAAATCGTTGATCCAATGAACAAGCTTTTGGTAGGCACCCTGTGTTTAGTCTCTTCTGCTCTAAAAATGATTTGCCAATCAGTCTTTTGCAATTTTGAGCATAAATATTATTATTACTGCTTGTTTTTACAGGATTGCACCTGCAATGCTACGCCAAGCTTCCTATGGGACTATCAAAATAGGCACTTACCAGAGTTTAAAAAGAATGTTTGTTGAGCATCCAGAAGGTGAGTGGGGTTTTTTTTTTAATCCAATTAAGGACTGTTTTCTTTCAACCTGGTTGTTTCCATTTGTTATCTTCCTGTAGCAGTTTGAAGACATTCCTTGTAGCAATTAGTCAGCAAGGGAGACTTGTCAGAGCAGCTTCTGAGGCTTCTGTAATTGGCAGTGTCTCTGCTGAAGGAGGGGTGGCATCATCCTGCCCTTCAGCACTGTAAGCTTTGGAAATCTGCAGCTAAACTTTCTCTCTTTTGTTTTTTTTTTTTTTATGGAATAGATGAAACCCTGATGATAAATGTTCTCTGTGGCATCCTTTCAGGAGTCATCTCATCATCTATTGCCAACCCTACAGATGTCTTAAAGGTAATGATGTGCTAGGGAGAGTTTGCCCTTAGCTCTTGCCCCTCTCCTTGAGGAAAAGCAGGATCTCATGAGGAACACAGAATTTGTTGGTTTGTAACCCTGTTTATTCTCATCTCAACTTATAAAATGAGTAACATCCTGAATTCTTGGAACCTCCTTCTGGTCCATACTGATGATTTGGAAGCATGCAGCAGGCAGCTGATGGCTGAGGAGGTGGTTGGAGCCATACAGCTTCTGGGGGTGGGGAGAGAACAATTTAAGATGACTTTTTTTTAGCTTTCATGCAGTAGTGGTTGTGTGCAAGGCACACTGCACACTTCATCTGTATTTCTTGCTAACAGTTAGAATATTAGGGTGTTTCTAGAGCTCAGAAGAGGTGAAGATGAATTCAGAGGCAAGACTTCCAGTGAGTGTAGGATTTTTAAGTCCTGCAGGGAGGTTTTGCAGTGTCCCAGCATCTGTCATATCAAGTGAACTGGTGAAAAGAGGTGAAGATGAATTCAGAGGCAAGACTTCCAGTGAGTGTAGGATTTTTAAGTCCTGCAGGGAGGCTTTGCAGTCCAGTGTCCCAGCATCTGTCATTTCAAGTGAATTGGTGAAAACCATCACCTATTTTAAGTTTCTATTAGCTTAATGTTAGTCAGTGACCACTTTTCCAGTGATTTAGAAGGGCTGGTGGTATTTAACTTAACAAAAACTCCCACCCAGCTTGTGTTTGGTAGTTCCAATGGACATTCTTGGAAATCCACAGGGTTGAAGACCATGATTCTCACTAGCTGAAACCTCAATCTTTTTAACATTCCATTTTAACACCTTCCTGTGAGAGCTCTGTAAAGGACATCCTGCAGAAACCATCTGTCAGGCTAATCTAAATGGAGCAGTGTACAAGTACAGAAATAGAAGTGACTTCATGCAGTTCAGAACTTGTTCAGAATTAGCAGCTGCATTTGGGTGGCTGAGGCACTGCAGAGAGATTGCATTATGGTTGTGATAATGTCAGGTCTCCATTTGTAAGCAAAGAAGCTTGACTTCACTGCTTAAAAGATTGTAACTTAAAATTTTAGTAAAACTATTAAGCTCTTACCAGTTCTGTGTTTGAAAAGCATTTTTTTTCTAATTTTCTCTTCAAATAAATCTCAGATCAGAATGCAAGCCCAAGGGAGTGTGATTCAAGGAGGAATGATGGGCAACTTCATGCAGATCTACCAAAAGGAAGGCACCAAAGGATTGTGGAAGGCAAGTTGGTGGTTGTGTGTGGGTTTTTGTGTGGTGGGTTTGCTTTTAAACTATCCTACACTGCCCTGCTCAACTGAATGCCACCCTTGGAAAGGATTCAGAGCCCAAACCAGAAGTCAGTAGTTGATATGTCATGACTACTTCACTGCTGGTGTCTCTGCATTCTAACAATGGGTTGCTGCTGGTTTTGTGTCCAAGGATTGGCCACTCCTTAAAGGAGAAGACAAATGGAGGGTTAAATTAGTGGGGCTGTCTCTAGGACTAGTTCACAGCTCTCTGCAAGGCCCCTCCCAGTCTGCATGTTCTGCTCTTTTTTTGTGAAAACATTCCAAAAGTTCTTCAGTACTAATGAACATCCCCCCTGGCTGAGGAATTCCTGTAGTCAGCCCTGTGGGTTGTCTCATGCCAGTCACAGGCAGGGACCATGTAAGGACTGAAGACCAAGAGGGGAGAGGTTTGAAACAGCTGGAAAATAGAAATGTTCTTCTGTTAAGTGTGTGTTTTCTCTGCAGAGTTTTCTGGTCTCCATATTTTCTGTTAAAACCCACAAAGTAAGGGAGGTTTCCCTCAGGAGGGAGGGGAGCCAGTATCAACTGGCTGCTGAGGACTTAGCTGGCTGTTGATTTAAGAATTTGGATGTTAAGCAGAGATGGAGTAGCACAAAGGAACTGAAATTGCCATTCTTTGTGGAAAAGTCATTGGTGTGTTAATGAGAATTTGCATTTTTGGGGCACATCCATCTAAATCTTGTGCTAATTAGCCTTGAATTCACAATAATCCTAACACATCCATAGGGTGTGGCTTTGTAGTATAAAAATTGGGCTCTTCTGGTGGTGCAGAAGAGTTTAATTCTAAATCTCAGCTGTGTCCTTTCTATTCACAGGGAGTATCACTGACAGCACAGAGAGCTGCTATTGTTGTTGGAGTGGAGTTGCCAGTGTATGACCTTGCCAAGAAGCACATAATTATGTCTGGATTTTTGGGAGATACAGTATATACTCACTTTCTGTAAGCTTGGGTAGCTGTTTGCATAACTCATGAGTTAGTTCTCATTTTGGGAGGGGAATCTTTGGATTCTTCTGTCATCAGTCTATGTGTAAATACACTCTTAATGTGTTTATTCTTTCTAATGCACCTCACCTGGTAGCACATAGCATGGAAGCTCATTTTATTTAGCATTTGGAATGAACTTTCTTTCAAATATGGAATTTTGTGGCTGATCTGAACCATTCAGCTTTGCAAATTGAGGTTCAAGTTGGGCTATAGAGCAAATAATTAAAACAAAATGATGCTTTATAATAAATATTTCTCATATATACTGATTTTTACCTAAAAAGCATTAAGCACTCACAGTACAGATATTCTGGGAAGGGGGGGTTCTCGTGGATTGTCAAATTTTAATTAACTCTTTCTCTTTATTAGGTCAAGCTTTACTTGTGGCTTAGCTGGAGCCCTTGCGTCCAACCCAATCGACGTGGTGAGGACAAGGATGATGAATCAGGGAAGCCAACAAAATGGGGGCTACTCAAACTACAAGGGTACTTTGGATTGCTTGTTACAAGTAAGTGGCCCATGTCTCAGCAGAAGTGGAAACTGGTGTCACCACATAATGATTTGGGTGTAGAACTTGGAATTGTTCTGAGGTTCCTTAGAAATGAATCCAGGTAACTGAGATGTGCTTCTCAGAAGGACTGCACTGTCCAAATACCACCTGCACTCCTCACACCAAGTGTGTTTTTCTCTGCTTACTGCATAATGGAAAACTTAGGGCAGCCAAAAGCAACATCAGGCTCTGATTTGGATTATTTTGGGTTGGTTTCCTCAGTCCTTAAGCTGGATATGAGGTGGGAGTGTGGTGGCCTTTGACTTGGAGAAGGGTGGATGGGAAGCTGTTAGTGTTCAAACTGTGGAATGAGCAGTCCAGGCTTTGTAACCAAGTCATGCTGCCCTGGGCAGTGTTGTGAAGTCTGTAAAGCACCCTGAAAAATTTAGGGGGGGTGTCTAGTGTGAGCCAAATGTGTCTGATGTGACACGTGTGTGTCAAATGAGATTTGACCAAGTCATGCTGCCCTGGGCAGTGTTGTGAAGTCTGTAAAGCACCCTGAAAAATTTAGGGGGGGGTGTCTAGTGTGAGCCAGATGTGTCTGATGTGACACGTGTGTGTGTCAAACAAGGTTTGGGTGGGATTAAAAAAAAAAAAAGCCCAGGAAAGCCATTTGAACAAATCTCTGTTAGCTACTAAATGCCATGGATTGCATCTTTACCTGCCAGGTAATTCTGCAGGCAATCTTGGTTAATGAATTAAAATGTAATGAATTAAAAATTTCCTAGTGAAATGTTCCCTTGTCCCACCACACAATGGACTTAAATCAAGGTTACAGCACTAAGAGATCCCCTTCAGTGGCACAGGACCTTGTTAGCTGAGGTCCACTTTAGATTTCTCCTAATAAAGATTTATTTCAATGTGTCCTTGCTGTGTTTTTTTATTCCAGACATGGAAGAATGAAGGTTTTTTTGCTCTATATAAAGGGTTTTGGCCCAACTGGTTAAGACTTGGTCCTTGGAATATCATCGTATCCTTTTCAAACTATGAAGCTGGCCACAGAAGAGCAAGTATTGAATGTGGAAAGTGTCATGTCAGCACAAATATTCCCTTTTGAGGAGTGGAAAATAATGTAGTTGATTATTTTTCTTGGCCAACTGCTGCTGGTCAGACTGAATTTGGGATTTATACAGACTGTGAATGTTAGAATGTGATCTTGAAAAACACTTTGGATTTCAGACCTGTCCCTTTCCTTAGTTTGGAGCCTAGTTTTAAATAAAATTGACCAGGTGAGTTAGGAATAGGGGCTGTGTCTACAACTGGGGAAGCTACTGACAGTAAGCCATGAAATCTTGTTTGTATTTTAGTCTCACCCAACTTGGTTTGTGTGTCAAGAGCCAGCTTTATACAGACTGTGAATGTTAGAATGTGATCTTGAAAAACACTTTGGATTTCAGACCTGTCCCTTTCCTTAGTTTGGAGCCTAGTTTTAAATAAAATTGACCAGGTGAGTTAGGAATAGGGGCTGTGTCTACAACTGGGGAAGCTACTGACAGTAAGCCATGAAATCTTGTTGTATTTTAGTCTCACACAACTTGGTTTGTGTCAGGAGCCAGCTGACTGGAACCCTGGGAGGTAGATCAGTAGTAATGTGTTTTCCCATGAGCCAACCTACTTTAGCTTATCAAAAGCTAAGCAAGTAAAGTCTCTGAGGGGTTTTGTAGCACTTCCCTGCTTCCTAGTCCTGTGTTTTAAGTTCCTGAGGGGCAGGGATGGGAAAGCAGTTGGCATCACCAGCCTTAAAGCTTTGGATGCACAGGAGTGCCCTGAAGGAAGCTTGGTTCTGAAGAGCAAAAATGCTCAACCACCTTCACACAGGAGGGAACCAAGAGGAGAGTGAAATCTCCCACAGATGCTGCTGCCCTTTAGCAGTGAGGTGTGAGTGGCAAAGTTTTCCTTAATCACCTTCTCCAGTTTTTTGTGACCTATGAACAGCTGAAGAAACTGGACTTCTGACGTGCTTAACCTTCACTGTGTGAGTTGAGAGCAACCTGTAAGTTATCCTGAGCTCTGTGTAGTCTGAGATGCTGGCCAAAGGAAGAGGCCATCACAAGACTGGTGTGGCTGCTGAAGGGACTTCAGGGCTGACTGGCTCCTCTCACTCCATGGCTGATGTGCCCCCTTTCCTAGGCTGACCCAAACGTGGTGGAACCCCTTCTGTCAGCTCTGGAGTGTGAAGATGTGTAATGCCACGGTGCTGCTGAGGCTCAGAGGGAGAGTTTGGAGGTGCAAGGCACAAAGAAGAACCTGTCTCTAGGGGAAGAGGGGTGGTATGAAGGAGCTGGGCTTGTTTCAGGAGTGTAGACAATTTGGTTTAGTTTCTCATGAACAGGAAGTGTCACAAGGCATCTTTTCATGCTTTCAGTTCAGCAAAATAGCTGCTGCAGTACAAAACCTGCTGCTGGTTTGGGAGCTTTGTTCTGAGCCCTTAGATGGCTGCCTAATTTGCTGGGAATAAGCCACATTTTGGAAGTGTGGCTGCTCCAGCTGCCAGTTTTGCATAGCCTGAGGAAAGCTTGGTGGGTTTTTTTTATCTCCCATGTATCACTCTTGGTTTTCAGCATATTGATATGTAAATCACAAGGAGGAGGGAGGTTCAGACAAGTCTCTGCTCCTCTGCCTGTCTCCCAGAGACACTTTCCATGCTGGGAAGAACCACTTGTCATGGTCTGAAGGGTGAAAATTGCACATGGAGTAGTTGACCTGGGTCACGTAGGTGCCTGTGTGAGCAGAACCAAAGCCCTCCAAAGGTAACTAACTACTCCAGAGGCTGCTTTCCTTCTTCAGGAGGACACCCAAACCCAGGACCTGTGCAGCAGACAAGCCCAGGGTGCTGTTGGCTGCAGGCCCTTCAGTGAGTGGCACAGCAGGACCCACAGCTCTGCATTTTTGTGCTGTGGTGTTAACCCCTGACCTGTGTTTTGCTTGACTGTACATTCCAGTTGAAGAAATCTCATTGCCATTTTCAAGATGACTACAAGTGACTGATTTTTTTGGAGCTCACAAATGGGTTTTGAAATGCACGAGGCACTTTCTTTCCTGTGTCCACGGTGTCTGTTGGCTGTGCTGAGGTGCAGGGTTGTTCCTGACAGCTGTTTCTGTGCTTGGAGAGAAACATTTGTAAATATTTTTGTACACCACGTAAACAAAGTGTATGTTTTACATTTTTAAGCTTACTAAAAGTTTCTAAATCATCACATAATGACTTTGAACTGCGTTGGGTTTGAGTTTCAAAGGGGGGGAGTGGGTTTTAAAGGTGTAGGTGCTGTGGTTCAGAGCTTGTGTGTTCCTGAACAACATCCCTCACGTGTTGTTTCACTTTTCTTTGGCATGTCTTCAACTGCAGGACCCTTTCCCACTGATGAGTCTGGGTTGAGTTTAGGAGCAGTGGATTATATTGATGACACTTGCAACCTGGGTGGATTTCTGGTACCACAGCTCTGAGGGGTTGGGGGTAGCACTGTACCAGTTACTGTGGGGGGAAGCTGGACAGATGGACAAGCTGGACTGTGACATCTGTTTTGGTGCCACACAGGGGATCCAAACGGTAACAGGGGGGCTCAGGAGCTGAGCTGAAGGCGCCTCCTGCTGTGTACACCTCCAGCTCTTGAATCCGGCCGTGCCTGAGGCTTTAGTTCGCTGCCTCAGGGCAGATACCTGGCAGGGGAGACACCACGATCAGATGTTAGTCCCCAAAAGCGGAGTGCAGCCCGAGATAACGGGGGGCATTCCCGAAGCGGGGAATGAGTTCTGAGGCAGGGAGAGCCGGGGGGCGAGGTGAGGGGCGGGGGCGGCAGGGAAGGGA